TCATCACCATTTTATTATTAAAAATCTATAAAAGCACAACTGTATTTTCCATTACTAGATCTGGCACTAAACACAGTATAGAATTTATTCTCTGAAATTCTCTGATTTTAAATTCCAATGATCCCTTAACTCAAAGCATTGTAAAAGGCAAATGAAATGTTTTATGATAAAGATATTGTGCGTTCTAGTCTTCACCCTGCAATCCAAATTCTTCTAAATCAATGCAGAACATGGGTTGAGTTTTAGGTGACATCTCAAAAAGTTAAAGCTACCAGACTATTTTTTAACCATGTTCATGCAAGATTTAGAACTTCTAATGTTCTTTTAAGAAAAGATGTCCTATTTTAATAATTATTTTAACTAATCACTAACTACTTTTAAAACTTAATTGATCTTTGACTATTAATATGCAAAATAGCCAAATTTGAGGTTTGCTGGAGATGTGTATAAAAAGAAAATTCACAGTCACCACTGCTGGACAACTACCTTTTAATTAAGATGCCCACTGATTATTTCTTCTTGTTTAGGGCCCAGGTTTAACGTATCCTAAGTAACATATTTTATTTGACACACTAAAGTAATTTAAGGTAAACTACAAATATTATAATAGTCATATTATATTCTTTTAATAAGGCCTATGCTATGTCTCTAAATAAATGCAATTATTCAGCTGTTACTATAAGCTTATTAATGAAGTTATTCCCAGTAAATCAATAGTAACTCTGACAATTAGAAAAATCAACTAAGTCTGTAGTAATGGTACTAAGAATATATATGATATAAAAAAGCATTTACTCAATCAATCTATAATCAATAGAAGCAAAGAGAGTTAGTCATATTTGAGCCTTGGCTCTCTTTTGTTGGAGAGTGTTGCAGCTGAATACATGTGCAAGGATGTCACTTGGTCCTGGCATGGCTGAACTGAGATCAAGGAGACACCTCACGATATAAGATAGGCCACAGCTGAGGCCACTTGGAGACTTTCTAAATAGTTTTCCTTAATTAGCATCATCTGTTGCTCTGAAGGGTCCTTGAACCTTGCCCAACATCCTGTTTAGGTTTCCTTCATTGTCCACTCAATCCTTGCTTTTTTGCTAAATATGGGCTGCCTAGCCTCATTCAGCCAGCTAGCTGAGTTACGAGCTGTGCACAGAATTTCACTCCTCCTGCAACCCTAAATATCATGCCTCTTGGGGCTAGTGATTTAGCTCTGTAGCACAAGCGTCTGCTTGGCAAGTACAAGGTTGTGAGTTCAATCTCTGGCACCAAAACAAAACAAAACAAAACAAAACAAAAAAAGATCATGCCTCTTGTCTCATGCCTTTGGGCCTTCACTGTGTACTTGAGAGCTTAGGAGTGTAGGCACAGATCCCACACTCTTCATCCTCCAGCTCCTTTAATTCACTGTGATGGAGTTCTACTGCTGTGTTGAAGCAAAGAACATGGGATCCCTGTCCCCAACCCAGCCTATGGTTGCAGCTTTTCACTGGATGAGGATAACCTTGGTTATTGCCTCTAATTCCAGACTGTAGCACCTGTATATGCAGAAATTGGGGCATATTCAAGACTCCTCTGCTCTGTGAAGTGCCCACTTATGGTGGGAGCTATGGTCAACCCATGACAAGATGACACCAGGCACCAATCTCCTACCTCCAGATTGTTTGTTGGGTGAATAGCTCATGCTGGAAGGTACAAACCAAAGAGGATCTGGCCTACTTGTAGAGCACAGTTGACATTCTGAGAAAATCAGGCTTTCTCTAGTCCTTCACTTCTGTACAGTGTCACAGTTTCTAGCAAAGAAATAAGCCAATGGAGAGAACACAGAACTTTTTGCTCATCCTGAGAGAACTGATTTTATTTGGAACCAATTTGGGAAAGTTTCAGGCCAAGAGATCTCTCAAAAATAAAGTACTTTTTGGTAGTAAACCAGTTCAGAGGAGATTAGTTACTTCACTGAAGCAAGAAGTGAAACAGCAGAGCAAAAAGAAATTTAAGAGATTTAGCAAAATAATGAGCTAAGAAGAGAGCAATTATGGTTGAGGAAAGTCTCAAAAGCAAAAAACTAATTTGATGTTACAGTTTGCACCCAAAATGTCCCCCATAGCTGGTTGTTTATCGAAGGTGACTGGGTTATGGCAGTATCACAGTTGATTTGCTGTTAAGAGTTATAGTCTGTTCAGAAGATATGGGTGTGTGTGTGACTTGGAAAGATCCAACTGTTCTTGCTTCTCCTGTAGTTCTCTTTCTCACCTACGTAACATGTGAGGCAAGTCTTCTATGATGACCCTCTGCCATGACGTCCTGCCTTGGAGGCAGCCAAGCACCCACCATAAGAGAACCTCTGCTCCTTTAAAATGTGGGTGTTGAGTATTTTGTTTTGCAAGAAAGTGATTAAGACACATATGCATAAGAACAAGAGTAAATAACAGAAATGGCCTTCAAGAGTGCCCAGATATACAGGTAGCACATGACGATTTTAATGAAGCTTTATAATTATGTTCAATTAACCTATGATTTTAAAATTTAAATTCAAGTTGGGCACAATGGTGATCAACTTAATGATAATCTATCTACAAATTAAAAGAGTAAGAATAAAAACAAGACTGGAGATACTGCTCATCGCAAAGGCCCTGGATTCAATCCCTAGTACTGAAAAATAAAATTGAAATTATAATAAAAATATCTCACCAATTAGAGAATAAAGAGATATTGTTTCTAAAATAAAATAAAAATTTTGGAACTAAATTTTTTTAAAAATAAAGAATTAAACATCAGTGGGAGGCCCAAACCTGTATTTCAGGTGGCAGACAAAAGAACATAAAATTTGAAAATAAATAAGTTTATGCAGTTTAAAGAATAAATAGAGAAAAAAGACTTGGAAAATGTGGGACACAATTATTTGCTCAAACAAATATGTGCTACACATAGCAAAAGAAGATAAGAATGATAAAGATGAGAAATTGTATTAAGCAACAGTTGCTAAAAAATATTCCAGATCTAATGATCATCTTTATCCACACACATGCAAGCAGCACAATGCATTTCTGGTAGAGTAATATATAAAAAATGTTAATTTACCCACATCAGAATCTAATGTGGAAAGATAAAGATTAAAAGAATATACTAATAACAGCAGGGGGGAAAATGATTTAACTCTCTATTTTTAAAATAAAAGGATAGAAAAAATGTATCTTTCATAAACCATAAAATACAATACATATTAATAAAGTAAAATAAGACATGCTAATAAAATAATCCATTAGACAAGAATAACAATAGCACATATCTATGCCTCTTCCTTAATTACCAAAATATATGAACAAAACTAACAAACTTTCATTGATTAGTAGAATATACAAATTAGTAGCTAATACTCCAATTTCAATAATGGACAGATCTATGGACAATATGATCAATAAAGACATAAAGAACTTGAACATTGTTATAAACCAAGTAGAATTTTTGAATGTCTAACAACTGAATGCACATTTTAAAATGTATTTCTCTGAGATCCTTAAAAATACACCATTTTACCAGGCAATGATTGCCTTAACACAGTCAAAAATATTTATATCATATAAAGTATGTTCTTCAACCACAATCAAATTTAATGAAAAACAAAGGAATAAATTTGGTAGTTTCAAAACTACAAGGATATTAAGCAATACCTGCCTAAATAACAACAGATCAATTAAAGCACAAGAAAAGTTATAAAATATATTGAAATAAGTGAAAATATAAACACAATACACTAACACGGAATGACTTTAAGCAGCATTTAGAGGGAAATTAATTACTAGAAATGCTTCAATTAAAAACAATCGTAACAATAATAGAGATCCATTTTAAGACAGTTGAAAAAGCAAACTAAACTTAGAACAAGCTGAAGAAAGTAAGTAACAAAAATAATGAAGTATACAGAACAGAAAATAGAAATAAACATAGATTAGCTTCTTGAAATTGTCAACAGTTTTTCAATCATTTCAACATATTGCTCAAGAAAAATGATAAGCATTTTGGATGGCAAAATCTACAAGTAGAGTACACCCCTAAATACCACACAAAATTTGAAGAATTAGTTAATATTAAGAATATAAGTCTGTTAACAAAGAAGAAACAACTTTGTAAGGGAAATAAATTTTGGAAAAACTAAATGGGTAAAAGACAAACATTAAAAATAATTCTGTAGCAAATATTGCAACTCAGTAATTAAAAACAAAAACTCACACAAAATAATAGGCCCTACCCTAGATGGATGGCTTTAATGATGAGTTTTACCAAACATTCAAAAATCACTAATACAAATCCTTTACAAATTCTTCTTAAATATAGACGAGAAAGAAGACATTATCTTGTATTCTGAGATCGGTTTTATAGAGACAAAATAAGTATTAACGAAATACATGAACATAAATCAAGTTCAGGCAAATATTCCTTAAAACCATAGACTTTAATTTTAGAATAAAATACCAACACACTATATCCAACAGCATACAGTTTTTGTAAGTCCATACATAGTAATCTATTGCAATTTATTCCATGATTGTATATTTGGTTTAACATCCGAATAATGATGTAATTTATAATTTTAAGAACATAAAGATTAAAAAGTGAGAAGTTTCTATTAATAGATACAGAAAATAAGCTTTACAAAATCTCACCCTCTCTCCTCATCAAAAGCACTCAAGAATAGAAATGATTTCATCAATCTAATTAAAGGCATCCATGACAAACCCCAAACTTGGGGCTTAATGGTGAAAGATGAAATATTTTGACCCTCACTCCAGGATGAATGAAGATGTGTGCTGTTCCTTCTTGTATTCCATGTCAAATATAAAGTTCAAGCAAGGAAATTTTAAAAAGAGAGACAAAAGAAATTCTTATGCAAACAGAAGAAAATTATTCCTGCTCTCACACTGCACATAGAGTATTCTAATGAATGCACTAAAAGTCTATTAGAACTAAAAGTAGTCACCTCCAGTCGCTGCTTGGTAACGAAGGAGGAGACAATTGTTGCCCGAGCAACGTGTGGGCAGAGAGGCTGGGCAGGAGGAGCCTCGGCCTGTGAGGTCCTCACCAGCGAGCTTCAAATCCACAGCAGGCCAAGAGCAGAGCAGACGCGGTGGGGATGCCCAAACTAAGTGTCAGATTGTGACCCGAGAGCTAGATAATTTTTCCCTTGTTCATCAAGATGGAGAAGTTCAGATTCTAATGATACAGGCGAGTGGCCACCAGGCTGCAGCACAACACAGAAGACACATGGACCGCCTGGATCGGGAAGAAGCTTTCTACCAATTTGTAAATAAGTTGAGTGAAGAGGACTATAGACTTATGAGAGATAACAATTTGCTGGGGACTCCAGGAGAAAGTACTGAAGAAGACTTACTGAGAAGACTACAGCAAGCTAAAGAGGGTTCACTCCCGCAAAACTCAGATGGAAACCGAGCAGGCCATGCGCCCAGGGGCGGCTCCCTCATCAACTGGATTAACTCTTCTGCACACATTAGAGACAGAACGAGGAGCAGACACACAGCAGACCTGCTTTGGACTAGTCCAAACCCTGATGACTTCAGCTTCGGCTTAGCCATAGATGTTAACCAAGCTCAGGAGAGCCAACACCCAGAGAATGAAAATGAGGCATCCTCCAGGCGCTCCACAGGACACATCGCAGGAAACGCCAGCCCACGGGGAATGGAAAACCCACGACCTGAATCCACATCCGCAAGACCTTCCAGGTTACGACGGAATTCAGCTGAGACATTGACGACGCTGATCAGAAGCCAGAGAAGGACCAGAAGCCGCACGGACCATCGCACCAGAGCCAGAACCGAAAGGAGCAGGTCAGCTCTGCGGTCACGGAGGGACATTCCACAAATACCTGCTCAGAGTCTCGCATCTCAGGTTTTTGAGCGTGTAAATGACACAGAGGGAAGTTACAGAAACCTGCGCCACGTGACACTGAGACAAATAACTGAGGCTGAGTTGCTAAGCAGAGGCCTCCTTGCAGCTTCTGAGACCAGACAGGCCTCTGAAGGCGCAAGCCCTGCAGGCACGGCCAGCAGTGGTCAGTCCACAGGACCGGGACAGAGAACTCCAACCATCGTCTTTGGTTTTCAAGTCAGTAGAGACCAAGCTCAGGAACATCAACAGGGAACTAGCATAGCCAGCAGGACTCGGTCAAGGTCTCAGACTCCAAATAACATTGACACTAATGAAAGTGAACGAGGGCTTTTTAGACGTACATTTTTACACTCTGGGCAGGCAAGTGTGAGAACCTTTGTCAGAACCATGAGGATTCCCATTCGTAGAATCTCGAATACTGATTTAAATGAGAATAACATGTCTTCTGCAATTCAGACCATGTTAAGGCAGATGATGATAGATTTTGGTGAACTAAACTATCTCAATTACACTGATAGCAATTCAGAACTTGGTGCCTTGATCTTGAGTGGAAATATGGAAAGATTAGACTCACAGAATGGAAGGGGGACTTCTGTTCCTGGTAGCAGTTCTGGCTCCAGTTCAAGTTCCATTTCCAGTTTCAGTCTGAGTTCCAGTCCAAGTTCCATCTCTAGTGCTGAAGTTTCAGAAACCAGTTCAGAGCTATCTGACGGCAGTAATGAAGAGAGCTTATTGCCAAGTGACAGGCGAGAGGGGCGGAATCGAGCCTCAGCCTCCCTTAATGAAAGTGGCTCTTTCCCCTTCTTTAATCTGGCTCAGATTTTCCTCTTAAATGAGGTTGATGATGATCAACCTAGAGGACTCACCAAAGAACAAATTGACAATCTGACACTTAGACATTTTGGTGAAAATGATGCATTAAAAACCTGCAGTGTTTGCATTAGAGAATATTCAGAAGGCAACAAGCTTCGTAAACTACCTTGTTCCCATGAGTACCATGCCCACTGCATTGATCGCTGGCTGTCTGAGAATTCTACCTGCCCCATTTGTCGCAGAACAGTCTTAGTTTCTGATAACAGACAAAATGTGTAATTAAAATCTGAACTCCTGGGCTGTTTATCTTGTGCAGTGATGAGCAAATAATAATTCGCTGATTTATGTTCATGTTGGAGTGGCACTTAAATGTAAAGTAACAACCTGATATGAGTTATCTCTTTTTAAAAGGAGCATATTCTTTCTCAGACATCTTCTGTTCCAGAATAAAAGAAAGAATTAAACAACACTTTTTGCAACCTAAAAATCTGATTTTGTTGCACTTGTGTTACTAATAATTTATCATGTACCCGTGTAAATTCCCCTTTTATTATTTTCAGAGACCTCCCTTAGCAAAACAAAACAAAACAAAACAAAACATAAAAGTAATTTGATATTATTGTGGGGTACAAGCTCAAAAAGTTAACTGGTTTTTATTCAACTAACTGAAAATATAATTTTAAAAACCTATTCTCTTTACAATAACATAGAAAAGGATAGTTATGAATCATTTTAGCTAAATAATTCGTACTCTGAAAAATACATATTATTGACTAAAGTTAAAGTCTTGGGTAGATAAAAGACGTGTTTGACCGGCTCAGGGGATTTGATAGTGTTAAGTGGTGATACCACCTTTCTAGTTCTAACATTTATGCAATCCATATTAATCACTGAACTACCATTTTAACATAAACAGAAAACTAATCCTAAAACTTATATGAAGTAATTAGAGACATGAGAGCTTCAAAATTTTTCAAAAGAGAAACAAATTTGGAAGACTAATCTTTATTACAAAGATATGACAATGAAGAAGTTGCTCACAAACATACAGACAGTAGTTCAATGGAATAGAATTGGAGATTTAGAAATCAACCAGTCCATTTCTGATCAGATGAATTTTTAAAATGATGAGATAATTCATGAAGAAAAGTAGCTTTATTCTACAAGGAGATATACGTCTGCCAAACAAAGAAGTTGAATCCATTTCTTTAGACATGCACAAAATTAACAGGAAAATAATGACAGTCCTAAATCTAAGAAATAAATTTATACAACCCAAAGCATGACAGTAATATTTAGCTAAGGAAATCCTACCCAAAAGAGCATCAAAGTAAGAGTAATAAAAGATATAAAAATGTCTGATTGGCAGGTATAATATTTCATCTAAGTGAAGATATTTTAAAAATCATCAGTGTTAAAGTCACTGATACAGAAAGGGAGAAATCATTTGAAAATTATATGTCTGAAACTAATATAAAAAAATTCATCGCTCATTAAATGGCAATAACAAGGTTTTGATAATGGACAATGTGTCCAAAAAGACATTCATTGAAAGGAAATATAGAGATGGTCAATAAATTCACAAAAAGATTTTTAACATCACTATTCATTAGGGCAATCAAATAAAGACATTGCTTCATACCCACAGGAATGGGAAAGAAATATTAAAATATATTTTTAAAAAAGCAGAATCCTCATGCATTCCTAACAAGAAAATGCATACTATGTACAATGCAGACACTTTCATAAACAGTATAATGGTCAGTTCCTCAAAAATAAATATATTACCATATAACCCAGCAAGGCTAACCCATATATATGGGTTATACACATACACACACACACATACAGAATAAAAAATTTTTCACAAAAACTTGTGTACGAATAAACAATAATTCAAAACAAAGATGGAAGAACACATAAAATGTTCACAAACAATGGAAAAGTAAAATTTTATATATATATATATATATATATATAGAGAGAGAGAGAGAGAGAGATGTGCTATGCAACATTGTTTAACAAAAATGATGTACTCAAACCTGTCCAACAAGAATGAGTCCTAGATCATTGTGCATGAACAAAGCCAGACACAAAATGCTATGTTTATTATCTATCCATCCCAAATGTTCAGAATAGTCAACATATAGAGTTGGAGGAAGTGACAGTTAATGAATGCAGAATTTTCTACATGGAGGTAAAAATATTCCAACATTTTGTAGTTACACAGTAGCACAACTCTCTACATTAAAAAAATCAACCATATATTTTTAATATTTATTTGTCCTTATCAATTATATATTATGGGTGAGTAAATTATATTAGATATTAATTGTATCTTTGTAAACTTAAGATCCTGGGACCCATAAGAAGATGCTCTAGCTGTGAGCTCTAGGAAAATCACTTCAGAGGTGCTCAGTTTCTTTAATGTGTGAGAGGGAAAAATGATACCTATCTCCTTTGCAGTTGAAGATGTTTAATAAGATATCATTCGCCCTTAGTCACTCAAGCACCTTGAATCTAGGTTTTATTAAACACTGGATGCATTTCAGGTATTATTATTGAGTCAACTGTCAAAAACCAAGTGATTAATTTACTGGAGCTAGTGTAACAGCTACAACAACACTCTCACTGTATAGTTTAATAAAAAAATCATGTGACAGTTCTGGAAATCTCACAAGTTTCTCCCTTTTGAGGACTACAAGAAAGTAAGTTGGTAAACTAATAAGAATAGATTTGCAGTTACAGAATAAAATAGAGTATTTCTCTTTAAAATGACTAGAAAAAACCCAAATATGAAAGACTAAATCTAATATTTTTAAAACTCTTGGCTTTTGCAAAATTGCACCAATTTAATAAAATGAATAAACTTCACCAGTAGCATTCTCTTACTCCATATCGTTATTTCCTAGTTTCCTAGTTTTCCTAGTTTTAACTTCTAAGATTACTCAGGTTCGTGGAAGAATTTATTTTCTTAAGGCTGTAGGATTCATAATAACTCATTTCTTCAGAGCCATGAAGAAAAGTAAGACTGCAGAATAACTCCTAAATCCTTCAGCAGTGGCAGTGGTAATATTCAAGTGATTCTCGGAGCGGGGAAGAGACCAATCTTATATTGTACATCAGTATTACTGTTCTGTTTTACTTCATTTCATATTTTGAACATTTTACTGTAGAATGTTTAACCATGCTTGAGAGATGATAATGTCAGATTTTTAAATCTTTTAAACTTGTAGAATTTATTTTGATCAATTTTTAGGGAAAATTGAGCTCCACATAACGTTTTTACATATATGTACTCTATCTCAACGATTTTTTCCTATTTTTATATTAAATGTTACAGTCATTACAACTATTGATCTAATGATAACTAAAGCTATTTTTATTAGTTAATATTAACAAAAGTCCTTAGTTTATATTAGGGTTTATTTTTGGTGCTGTATGTTTGACAGTTTTGATAAATATTCAATCCGATCGGTTATTACTGCTTCACACTAAATAGTTTCACAGCCTTATAAATTGTCCATATTCTATCTTTTCATCTCTCTCTCCCTCTCACCAGTGTCTGCACAATTACAAATATGGTTGCTGTCTTCATGGGTTTGCCCGCTGTGACTCAATAAACTGGCATTGTTCATTGTGAACTACGCATTCCACGCAACCTGGAGCCTTTCCATGGCTTGATATTTCATTTCTTTGGTTTAGTAATATTTTATCATATGGAAGTGCTATAGACTGTCCAGTCACCCACTGATGACAAGTCTATTATAACTTTTAGCAATGATGATTAAAGATGCTAAGATCTGCAACATACACATTTTTATATGAATTTAAGTTTTCACCCATCCATGTAAAGAATAGAATAAAATTGTAGGTCATGGGGTAAGTGTATGTTCAGAGTCTTCAGAATTCTTTTTCAAACTGGCTATGAAGTTTTACATTCTGTCTAACAATGGATTCAAGCTCTTGTTGTTTTCTCTAGCATCTAGTGTGTGCATGTTTTTGACTTTGGTCATTCTAAATAAGTTTTCCCACAGAATGTTTTCATGTTCATTATTTGCTTTTTACATCTTATTAGGCAGACAAAACTAGGGACAAAAGTAGACAGTCTTTTCTTGATAAATATATTATCCCCAGCATATATGTTGAACAAATGAAAGACTTTAGAAAACATATCTAAAATTTCCCTTGGCGTTCCATTCTAAAGTTCAATAATTTTCATTATAAGAGAAAAATACGTATGTGAATATAAGAAAAATTTTTGTTGAAAGTGATGTTTTTACTTATCATTAAAAATATTAATTTTATTATTTTTGTGTTTTTAAAACCATCAGTGAGTGCTCATAACATTTTCTTTCCTTATATTGTAATACTTTCTTTTTACTCAAGACTACTGATAATTTTTATTAAAATCAGTCAAAATCAAACTGTAGCCACTGATAGCCAAGCCAGTAACATCTTGTAGCTAGACATATTTAATCAGATATACTGGTACTGTAGTACCTTTAAAAAATAAAGTGTGATGGTTTATTTGAAAAAGAATGGAAAAAGGCCAGATGGACAGCTATTCTGGGGTAGGGAACGTTAGAAAGGTATCATCTTTTTTGGAAACTAATGAGTCTACCTCTTCGATAAATATTTATGCCCTCAAATATGCTTTTCTTAGACAAATTGTAATTTGCATGCTTTCCCAAAGGATTCTTTCACTGTTATGCAAATATTGTGTTGAGGAAAATTTTAGTTTGTAGTCTTAAATTTGCTACTGATAAACATTTAAGAATCGTTCAGATTTCAGTGAGGTTCACTGAGGCTTCCTCTTCTAAAACAAAACTCTCTAAGTAAGGACTACTTAAAGTCTTCATATCTAACCTGATAAGGAATTTTTTCAGTTTAAGACTTTCTAGCACTAAAGCATAAAAACCAAAGCAAACCATGACCTGTCTTGATGGAATTCATATTTCATAGCTTTGTCTGAGCAATGCATACCTATTTGTATACATTCATGACATGCATGTTTATGACTTTCATTTCAAAGTTGTTTGAATTGTTCTCAAAAACAAAAACCCATAAATTTGGCATTTTACCTATGTTCTGTCTAGAAACTGTATAAGAATAATATTTGTATCGCAGTAGTTACATAATCATGCCTGAGTTAGTTGTTTTGTTTTATCAACTTATAGCTAGACCACCAACTTAGTAACTCACCTATATTTAAATTAATCTGGAGGTGCTAGTCATTCATGGGTAAACTTTGTATAATTTAAATTCGAATATATATAAATATGTTAGTACTAATCTACATTAATTTAGGTAAATTTATATAACAAATTTGTATATGCATAATATTGAAAAGCTATTTCCAGTTATCGCTTAATCTAATTACTTTTTAAATTTCATGAAAACATAAAATTAGGT